TTCTATGATCATTGTCGCTGTTGAAATCGAGTCTAAAGTGATGGAATCGTAAAGAATAAACTCTTGATGTTGCATAGTGCCCTCTCAAGACTGATATTACTTTAGCTGTAAAACAATGATTCTGGACTACGATTGCCCAATTTGCTATTCCCGTTTGGAAATTATACATCAGAACCAACGCTCAAAATACACGGGGGCAGTGGGTGATTCGCCCCCGTGAGCTCCATAATCGCCTCCGCCAGGTTGCTCATGGGGGCGATTGCAAAATTAAAAAATCGCCCCCGTGGAATTATAAAACAAAGATTATCTTTTCTGATATAACTTTAACACAATATTGAATATCAATTTTAAAACCTTAAACCAATGAAATTGAACTTAGATGGCGCTATCTATCCCATCTCTATGAGTATTACCGATACAAAAAACGGAAGCTCGCACTATATTGTGCGGCCGTCAGCAGTGGCTATACTGCGCCGGTAGTACAGGTTTGCACGCTGACGCCCAATATCTGCTGGAGCTGGAGACGATCACGCAAAAACTGAAATATGCAGAAGTTTTTTGTTGTGAAAAGTGTGAATCCTCTGAAATCTGGTGATTCTAAAAGACCAGCAAATTATGTACCTCGTCCAGTAAAACAATATCGAGAAGAAGAACAAGGCCAAAGATGTTGCAGGGGCGCCTCTAGGCGGTTTAGGGGGTTTAAGCCTCCTACCCCCTCCCCCTTGGGCTGCCAATTGAAATGTGATGTGCATAGAAAAATGCCATCATCTGTCCAGACCTACACAGTATAGATGTCAGTAGATGCCAGGAAAGCATCACTTACGGGGGTTTAAAATAGCACCAATAAAATGCTCCGCACGCTAGTAGATGCCAGGAAAATATCACTTACGGGGGTTCAAAATAGCAACAACAAAAATCGCGATAAAAAACAAGGAATTTAGGAGTTTCATGGGTACCAAGTCAATCAGTGGCGTAATGAGCAAAAACGTTTGGGGGGGGGGCTGACAAAAAAAAAATCGCAGCACCCCACTCTAACATGCAGGCCCCGCTAAACGTTTCGCAAAATGGGATCTAGGGGCAAAGCCCCGGCGGGGGCCAAGGGGCAGAGCCCCCGAAGCTCAAGGGGTATGGGCATCAGTGGCGGATCCAGGAATTTCTTACCGGGGGGGGGGGGGGGGGGGGGGGGGGCACAAAATGGCATGGTGTTAAATATATGTAAAACGATGAAGCTACAGAACGAGGCTTTAGCGGTGAGGGAGCGGAGTGACCAAGCGGGGGTGGGTCTGGGAGGGGGTTCAGGCCCCCTCCCAGAGTAAGAAGCATTTGCAATTTTAGAACCAAATTAGACGCATTTTCAGGCACTTCCTGGAGTAATATGACGTAAAATTGCTTTCTCCTACCCCCTTCCAAGAGAAGGGATCTTTTGCAATTTGATAAACACATTTGGCGCATTAATGTCCATCAGCACTTCCTGGAAAAAAATCGAGGCCTTCTGATTGGTTAGAAGTTAGAGAAAAGTGATCTGTCACGTCTTGATACGTTGTTTATGCTTTGATGCCACACAATGCACAAAGACGGTGGTCCGGTACTTCATCAGTAGTACTTGCAAACATTTTCTCGAGTGTCGTTATCAGGGGTGTCGCTAGATCTTTGTCAGTGGGGGAGTGGGAAGGGTGTAGAGGCCACCGATTAAAGACAAAATGAGCAACCAATTACTGACAAATATATTAATGCCACTATCCAAATGTCTACAAATTTAACCCTATAAACCCGGGGCCAGGAACTAAGTTATTTTTCAGTCTCCCCCCTCCCGCGAAAAGCGTGGAAACTTCCGACACTTCATTAAATTATTAGAGAAAGAAGACGATTCGTTGTATCGTGTTCTTGTCTGAATTCAGTTTCCCCCCTCCCACGCGAAGCGCGGAAGCTTTGACACTTCATTAAATTATTAGAGAAAGAAGATGATTCATTGTACCGGTTCCGACTCTTAATCCTTGTCTGAATTCATTTTCGCCCATCTCGCCTGAAGCGTGGAAACTCTGACGTTTCATTAAACTGTACTCTTAATCCTTGTCTGAATTCATATTCACCCATCTCGCGCAAAGCGCGGAAGCTTTCACATTTCATTAAATTATCAGAGAAAGAAGACGATTCATTGTATCGTGTTCTTGTCTGAATTCAGTTTACCCCCCCCCTCCCGCGCAGCTTTGACACTTCATTAAATTATTAAAGAAGAACGATTCGTTGTACCGTTCTCGACTCTTAATCCTAGTCTGAATTCAGTTCCCCCCCCAAAAGCGCAGAAGCTTTGCCGTTTCATTATTAAAATCATTAGAGAAAGAACATGATTTGTTGTACCATTCACTATACTCTTAATCATGTCTGAATTCAATTTCCCCACTGGGCCCCTTAACGGTACATGTGCAGTGTTACATGATGTAAGTATGGAACGCCCGGCAGTACTTGTCACAGTTGCTTCTGGAAAGGATTTTTTTACTAGTGTTACTGTTAGTGGCAAAGGCCCCTTAGTGACTATAAAAAACATTTGCTCTTCCTGACCATTTGGGAATGTGTCAGTTCGCAACAGAAATGGAGAAATGCGCATTTTGTTGAAAATCATGTGATATCATGAACATTTATACATCACTTGTATATGGAATTGAAAATAAGTCATGGTTCAATTTTATTTGGGGGGCCCCCCCCCCAAGCCCCCCCACCAGTATGCCAGTGAATTCAATGGAAATTTGTATAAAAATAAGAGCCCCCGTCAGCACTAAAAGAACCCCCGTGAGAAGGCTCACGGGGGCTCTTTTGGGGGGGGAAGAGCCCCCGTGGACAAAAAATTAATTTGAGCCCTGATCAGAACTGCATATTCTGAGATTTTCATGGTCGCAGCTCCCATGGAATAGCATTAGGCATTATTTGAAATATTTGAAATTTACTGGGAGCACCAGCAAATTTTTTATTGTTCAATTCCTCGAAAGCAGAAGTGTTTTAGGGGCTTAATTTTTTAGTGCTTATAATACATCAACAGGGGCATCCAAATATATCAATATTTTAAAGAATTACTATCCATCCAATTTTCAAAATTTCCCAAAACTGTGCATTACCTTTAAGTATGTTGTGATCTTTCAACATGTCTTCTCTAGTCCCTTCTGGTTTCACCCAATCCCCCCCCCCCCCCCCCCCCCCCCCGTGCTATGGGCTGTGAAAATACTGGCAGCAAAACACATGACAAGCAATGGATATTGAGCATCCTACACAGGGACATAATCATATATATGTGCATGTAATATATTAGATAGCTTACTGGTAGACAGATATTGAGATGTGATTGGTCCACAGCGCGTCACCTGATATCGATTGCGAGGATAAAAATCCTTATATTTTCCTGGCCGGTCAACTTTGATGGCTATATTGACCAACTGGTCAAATGAATCTATATTTTAATCAATATGCATGATGCCCTCTTGAGGACTGTATTTTTCTAACATGTATGTCAATTTCGAGGAAAACACAAAATTTCTAAATTTTGGGGAATTTGTTGTTGTTGGGGGGAGAGTCAATTTTGTTTCCCTTAAAAATAAAAAAAATTCTTGAAGTATTTTTTTCCCTTTGATTTTTTTCTCCCTCAAAAGGTTTTTTTTTTTTTTTAATAAGTTTTTCTCAAAATGTTTTTTTCTTCTCAATTTTCATGCAGAAAATGCAAAAACGAAATGGACCCCCCCTAAAGGAAGTTGTATTTTCCCTCATGACCATATTTTCCAAAAGCGAATACAACTCTCTTCAAGGGTCCAAACAATGTTTAATATACCTCTCTTTAGTATGTTGAATTAATCTAGTCATCAGGGCTCGTATTCAATAAACTTCTGAGACATTTTTCTTCAGTCTAAGAAAAATGTCTAAGAATATGTCTAGGTTAAGAAAGTTGCCTTAGCCGTATTCCTAACACATAGAGCAGTTTGTCTTAGCTTTGACGAAAGATAAGACAAAATCTTAGACCTGATGACGTCATGTTGGAAAGTCAAATTGGTCGAGGCGAGTGACTTAATTGCAGCTCAATTTGCCTATGCAATTTGCATGTTAAAATAAAAATCGCACTGCAAATTATACAAAAAAACGTACCGGTATGGGAGATAGAGTATATGGGAGTAATGATGCTCACGGAATTGTTTTGGGCTTGACCAACAGAAAATAAAACATGTGTAATGCAGCCTAGTCAAAGCCCCCCATCTAGATCTAATAAGGCTTTTCTGTCAAACATCTTTTCAAGGGGCTGACCAAGCTATCTTATACCGCGGCAAGGGTCCACTTCAAGGCCTTTTGTAACACCATATGGTAGCCTTAATGAAAAGACCACTGTCAAAAGAACCAGCATATACAGTTTGAGACATTTAAAGGAAGTACAGAAAAGTAATACTCAGCCGCCATTTTCTTCTTTTTTTTTGGGGGGGGGGGTTCCCGTTCACCTGGTACTGTCCAGATCGACTCTTACCCGTGCCCGGGAGAGCGCCGGCATGGTACCTTGGGTAAATATGTTTTCCAGCTAAATCACTGTCAACTGACCACTCAGAAACTGGGACCAAACGTCTAGATTTCTGTTTGGACTCGGAGAAAAAATTAGTTTGTCATCTTTGATCTTAAAAAAAGCATTGTTTACTATTATAATTGTTAAATCGGCGCCTTCAACTGCAACTGGAAGTAAAATCACATGAGTTTTCGAAGACAGACCTGGAATACTTCTACCATAGTATGGTGGTGGCAACAAAAACAAAAACAAAAATTAATTAATTTAACAAAAAACATGGCATTCAAGTATTCGTCTGTAAGCCTGGGAGTGTATTCGAGTACCTCATTACATGCTTACAGCACAGCCCTACAGAAAAGTAAAATGTAAAAAAGAGATAGAGATGGTGATGGAATGGACTAATTAAATTAAACACTTACTCTTACACATGTATATCACAATTGTGGATGAGCTGCTCACCTTTGATTCTTTTCCATTCCTTGCAAGTGTTGCAAATAAACGATGATGTACGTATGCATTACAAAAAAGAGTAACTTCCTTCAAGGATGGCATGGAGCATATCATCTCTGCCACATCAAGTGACATAGTAGGTCCACAATCTCTATCGATCCAGAGTTGAACCTGAGTAAAATGACAAAGTGATTACTGATGGGATGCAGAATATAGACGTTCACTTGGATGTTAGGTATACTGGGTAACCTACATGAGTGGTTGCCCTAGATGAGATGACTACAGAGAGTAAGAGGGAAAAAGAAATAAATAAGGGTGCAGGCTGGAGAATTATTGCCATGACATTTCATATCAAATTTCAATTTTTTGCCAAAGTAGGAATATCTCATCTTAGTTAACCATGTACTTAAAGGTATTACAAAGTTTTGGGAAATTTTGAAAAATGGGTGGATAGTGATTCTTTACAATTTTTATATATTTGGATGCCCCTGTGGATGTATTAAAAACACCACAAATTTTAGCCCCTAAAACACTTCTGCTTTCGAGAAAATTGAATGTAAAGATTAACCGGTGCTCCCGGTAAATTTTGATAAATTTCAAATAGCTCCTACGGCCGTACAATGGTAGCTGCAACCATGAAAATCTCAGAGTATGTAGTTGTGGTATATAATTTCCGAACGACAATAGCTAATCGGTCGATTTTAGTCAATAAGCATTGTTTTATAGCTTAATTAATATCTTGACTTGAGAGGGAGCTATTCAACATAAAATGTTTATAATTTACAATTTCATTACTTTAGAGTCGATTTCGACCGTGACAACAATCACTGAATATTGTAGGATCGTATATGCTTCCAATATATTCGTTTGAACCAAATTCATGACCAGTACCAAAACTTTGTACATGTATTACCTTTAACAGAGAATCCTTAAACAAAATAAAAAGAGAGTATTAAAGTCTAAAACAGGATTCAAAGGAGAATATTTATCTGGTGCCTCATACCTTAATCATTCATAAATGTTAATAGGAACACAATCACTAAACTTGACTTTAATAGTCACTTTGACGAATTAGGTAATACGTATGCTATTTTTTATCATGAAAGTGTGCCAATGATGATCTAATGATAATTTTCATAAATACAATAATGACGATAATGACCATGATTAAAAGTGGTATAGGGCCCCCTTCAGGTATTCGAGAAATTATAGAATTATAGAATCAGGATTTCAGAAAAGTCACCTCCCATACGCCTAACACGCAAACTAACAAAATTCTGACATGTCGTCTTTAATTGAAATTTTCACTATGATGATGTCATCAAAATGATAAATGATGTATGTCGATCTTGTAGATGATTTTCTTAGCTACACCTTGTCAAAATTTGGAGTAAAATAGAGCACAAATAAGCTAGATAGTGCTCAAAGATCAGTGTCATGTAGATTCATAATGTGGACAAAATTCACCTTCCGTAGGCATAACACGCAAATTAAGAAAATTCTGACATGTGCATGGCCTTTAATTGAATTTTGTACTATGATGACGTCATTGAATTGAAAAGTAGTGTGTATTGATCTTGACAAGTTTCATGATAATGGTTTTATTCAGTCTTGATATATCCTATGCACAAATTCATGGCAGAATAATAAATATTAAACTAGAAATTGAATTCGTCATGAGGATGAATTAGGTGGTCTGTCTTCAATTCTAAACATAGATTTGAATATTTACTATATAGAGAACAATGATGATGATGATGATGATGATCTTGATAGTAATGGTGATGATGATGATGATGATGATAATGATGATGATGATGGTGATGTTGTTGATCATGATCATGATGATGTTGATGATGATGATCATCGGACCATGATGATGATGATCATGATGATATTGATGATGATCATGAGTGTGATCCTGACATCTGATTGAAAAAATGATGGGGACATTTAGATGGCATATAGTTTTATACTCTTTTCACACTGGTTTTGCTTAACCCCGTACTTTGCTTAGCCCCGTACTATCCTTAACCCCGGACTATTTTTTTTTACTTTTCACACATGCTGTTTTTAGTCCCGTACTAGCGCCTATTCCGGAATAAGAAAATTCATGCTGTTCTCACTGCAATTCGTTAACCCCGGATATCGTGAATGTTATGATTGGACATTCTTCGCATCTAGCCAGCTGCGATACGCTCCATTGCGTAGTACCAGACTATTTTTTGTTTCTGTTCATTTACTTGGCACCGCAATTGCGAGGTTAGCAGGAGTTAGCACCACAATTGCAGAGTTAGCCCTGCTATTTTGCAGAGTTAGCCCTGCTATTTTGCAGGGTTAGTTAACCCTGTAATATAGGTGGGGTTAGCCAACTTTAGCCCACTTTGGTAAAAGCCAGTCTGAACAGAAAATGGAATAGGTTTAACCCCGGACTATAGGTGGGGCTAAGACCCCCCCTTAACCCCACCTATAGTACGGGGTTAAGCAAATTTTTGCCAGTGTGAAAACAGCATTAGCTACAACATACTAAAAAATCAACAAAATACAAGCGGAAATAACGGCGATATTGCTCGCAAAAGACAGGATTGTAGAATCCAGATTTGAGAAAAAGTCATCTCCCATAGGGATTACGCGCAAAAAGTAATGGATCAAGTGATAATAGGGTAATAATAAAGTGAATATGGTTGTTTATTACTTATTTGCGATTCTACGTGTTTTAATATTCAAAGGAGACGGTACAGTGAAAGGTCAAAAAGACAAAACAAGTGAAGAAAAATATTGTTGGAGACGCCCAGACTCGAACCAGGGGTCTCGAGGTCGGAAGTCAAGTGCGTTACCGATATACCAAAACATTTCCCATAGCGATTACACGTAAACGGAAAATGGAATTCTCAAATCCCACTTTGCAAGTGAAATATGAGCCTCATTCTGGCATCTGATCGCAAAATAAAGGACACACTAGTGATAGCTTATTGTCTCAGCTACAACATACTCAAAGCTCTGCATAAACAAAGATAAAACTATGAAGATATTGCTTGCGAAACACGGGAATGTAGAATCCAGTTTTGAGAAAAAGTCATGTCCCATAGAGAATACACGCAAAAAGTGAAAAATTGACATGCCTCCTTTAATCACAGAAATACGCCATGATGCCTTGTCAAAATGAAAATTTGTGATGACTGCATTTGTAGAGAATTGTCTCAGCTAGAACATATCAAAACTTGGAAGAAAATCTATCAATATTTACAGAGATACAATCAATTTTCCAAAAATATGCTGTCATAATATGCAAATTGAAATTTTGAGTTCGGAGGCCATTATGATGACGCCATGAGTTAATTGCTATCACATTACAATGTGTGACATGCTTGTAGTACATTAGCGTGGATGACAATGGGGTAAAAATGACCGCAATGAAATGCCCCTTCGAATGATACCATACACAGTATACATGCACCGGTATTCACTCAGAAAATTTTGAGTAAATCAAAATTAGGAGCAGGTGTCACAATTCGTATTACGCCGGGTTTCTACCCAACTGTAGCATGTATTGGCTATGACGTTAATTTTCAGACTGATTTTTGCCCCCTTTTCGATTTTTCTTTATCTTGAAATTTTGCAAGTATATTCTAGGTGGCCAAACTCAGGGCATGTCATAGCCCAATTTTCAAAATCTGTCAAGCAGGACGTTTTAGATGCCATTTTATATTCTGCATTAAAATGTATTGCACTAAATGCATCATGTATTAGTATGTTAGCATGCAAGGCCTTATAGGCCAAAGTATATGGAAAACCATAGGTGCGTAATAATAATTTTTAAAAAAATTTTTATTATTTTTTTTTTGTGTGTCTTCAAAATAGGGGTGCGCCTTATACACAGGTGAGCCTTATACACAGAGATTTACGGTAACAATAACCAATCTTTACTCAAGAAAAGGATAAGGCAAGAATTCTTTATAGATTTTTTTTGTGAATTCAGTATATAACAGATATACATGTATGGACTGCTTTAATATTCGAGGCATAGCTGTTTCTATACTGGCTCTCAGGGAGATGTTACATCATGCCATGATCTCTCAGCGTGCCTCAGGGTCATAGCAGGATGTAAAGTCGCCTTGAGCCTTTAGAAACAGCTATTTTGAATAGCACATATGTGCTAGTCAAGATGCACCCTTCCATAGTTAAACTTTTGTACCATAAGAAACTCGCAAAAGATATAAAAGTAAGAACTTGTACACAAATTTATGAACTAGTTTTGTTTATCAAACTATAATTAAACTTACATGTGTTCCAATGAAAGTATACCCAGCTACAGTGTGTGCTGTCATGTCACTGGATATGGTAATTTCCTTTGATGAAATCATGTCTTTCACCAAGGCTGCTACATCTGGGTCCTGACTCTCAAAGGTTACATCAACAGTGAAATCTATCTCAAACCGGTACTTTGAAGTCTGTCTGTTCAATATGCCTAGTCCCTGTAGCATAGACTTCATTAGATGGGTTGCAATACTTTTGTTCTGTGACACAGTGAAGTACAGGAGATACCTAAACTCCTCCTTCCTTGGCAGCACTACTTGCTCAATCAGCTTGATGAATTCATTACGATCTGATTCATACAAGGAAGCAAGATGGAATCCAGCCATGTACTCCTGAAACAGTTTGTGAGGGAAGAAGACAGGCAACTGCACATAAGAACTCCCCTTATGTATGTGCACGCTAGTGGTAATTCTGTCCTCCTGAGACAAAATCCCGACCCTACAGGCAGTGTCCTTGGATTCTGGGCATATTTCAAAATCATGTTCACCAAAAACCAAGGTATTTTCTAGCAGACCATTGAGGGCCTGTTTGGCAATCGGTCCTAGAAGCTCATCAATTTTTTTCAAATAGGCATGAAGTGAGGGCTGCCTACTTTCTTTACCATTTTCTGAGCATAATGTTCTTTTAGAAAGGCAATCATTGTTTTGAATATTTGAGAAAAAGTTTTCAGTGATTTCACTTCCTGTAGTTTTTGCTCACCAAGTTCTTTCCACATAAGACACAACATGGCTACATATATAGGATAGTGGGCCATGTTCTCAGATATGACATCGTTCTCACTGATGAACTGGATAAGCTGATTTGCTTTATCATCGTTCTTTGGAAAGTATTTGTGAATGTAAACTGACAAATTCTCTCTGTTGAAACCCTCAATATGAATGAATGTGTAGACCTTCATTAGATCACCATCTGATCTAATCTCTACTGCCCTCCATGGGCGAGTAGTCACCAAGACTGGGCAAGAGGCAAGTTGATCTGAACGAAGAATATCTACAAGTCCAATATCACCAGGCTCAGATGAGCTTCCACATGCCACTGAAGAGTCGACACTTGGTGGCTGTGATGGCTGAAAATGCATTTGATCGGTAGGCGGTGATTCGCAGGATTTTGGCATCATGACTTTGCCACTTACCTCGTCTAGCCCATCGAATGCGATGAACACCTTGTCAGGATTTGACCGGATATACTCAGTAATCTGAGAAACTGTTGCTGGATTGTTTTTGGCCAGATAAGACTTTGCAATCTTGCCAATAGAGTGTTGCTTAAATTCACGTAAAGGAACAATCAAGACCCACACAAAGGGACTAAAATGCCTCCCTTCAATCCAGTCCCAGGCAATCTTAGCACAAAATGTAGTTTTTCCAGCCCCTGCCTCTCCCTGAACCATGATCCGCTTGGGGAACTCTCCATTGACTTTAAGATGAAGGATATCATTGTAATCTAGCATTCGCTTCTCTGTCCCATGTTCTTCTTGTAAGAAGAGATTAGTATACATGTCGTCAAACTGTACTGTGGAAGCAGGATTGAGAGGATCAGCTCTGATCTTACAGACAGTTGACCTGTACTTGAACTTGAAATCATTTGCACACTGCTCAACCAGTTCAGGAGAAAGTGGTTTGGTCTGAGATTCAGCTGAAGGGGGTTTGGTCTGTGATTTGAGCAGTCTTGATGGCCCTCCTAAAAATACATAGATAATCCATATTCACATGATTACACGTAAGCATATTTTGATACATCTGAAAGGATTATAAAGGCCTGAGGGTTAAAATCGTGACATACATGTACGACTACCAGTAGGTGCATCTACTCAAAGACACAAAGTCCTTCATGTTTGTCTGAATTTAAATGACTTCACTCAATTTGAAGGACATTTAAATTCTGAGTAATATGTGTATACATGTACTTGTAGATGAATAAATATCACTGGAATAATTTTTCCTAGGACATTTCAGCAATGTAGAGTTTCCCTGACAATCACACATCTTATTTCAAAGAAAAAAACAAGACAAACATGCCAACCTCAAATTCTGTAGAACTTTGCAGGAATTATGAATATGTCATGTATGTTCTATCTGTGAAATTTAAACGTTAGCAGTGTCCTAATATTCAAATCATGCAAGGAAACCCGTTTACTTGCTAGACTTCACTGTCAGACACTATAGTGACTGACTGGAATTTTGTTCTTCTTTGGTAATAACATACATAAAATAATGAACTGTAAAGGGTACATGAGGATTTGTCTACATCAATAACCCACTTCTTGTGATGGCCAAAATTAAACTGATTGAATCTTTGCGTAGCATAAAACGTATGACCATTCGGTACAATGGTCTGAAAATCAAGACTATTACTTATTGGCTCTATAGCTCCTAAATTGATTTGACAACTAATAGTCGTTATTTTCCCACTTGAAGACATTTTCAAGCCCAACCTTTTTTAGAGAAGTTCTAAATTAGTATTATCTTTCAAACGCCATTGGAATTTAACCTTTTCATTTTTATGGCCAGCAAATGGGACATAGTACCTTTAAAGTAGTTATTGATATGGTGATAATCATTTCATTTTGCTGCCTTGGACCTTCTTAACCCAAAATATAATCAGTCTGTCTCAATATGATGATGCATACCAACACCAAATTTAAAATTCATGGCTCAAACCGTTCTTGAGACATTGCAATAATGGGGTTAAAACTCTAAAAAATTAATTGAATTTGACCCTCATGGCGCTTGACCTTTGACCTACTTATCCAAAAGTTTAATCATTTTATCTCACTTCGGTGATACATACTATCACCAAGTTGAAGTTCATACCTCAAGTGAGATATCGCAATAGCAAAAACGTCCTGCACCACCTTCGGTGGGCGGATGCATAACTACAGTTATCATAATGGAATGACATAAAAAAATATATAAAATGCTTGCACATAAAGCTTGTGCATATAAAGAAAGCTGACATACATTGAATTCCGCTGTCACTCGAAGTACTTGTACTTTATATTGGTGTCCAGAAAATCTAGGATTAACAAAGTTAAATTAGTAAAATATAAAAACATGCATGGGGCCTGATAACAAAATTGTCACTTCTGTAAATTGTGGCAAATGTATAGAACACAGAGCACTCACTATCTCTATGGTAAAAACTTATTTCAGTTTTACGCATGTTTTTTTTTAATGTTTTCTGGTGTACATAGCAAAAATTAGTACCGGTATGTGTTTACCTGTGCTGTTTGGAATTGGAGGTCCATTGAGTAATCCGTCTGATAGACCACCCAAGTCAATCTCTTGAAGTTTGTCTGCCAAAAGCTGTCGTATATTTGAGTGTGGAGGTTGCTGCTTTACATTCCATTTCATAAACACATCCAGTAACGCATTGGTGAAGCTCTTCGGATTGTCAACCAGGATTGCCTGTAGTTGAGCATAGGAGAACCCTAGAGATATCCCTACAGCGTTGTAGTAAGATGGAGCGATAGCCTGGGCCAGCTTCAGAAACTCCATGTCACTGACAGTACTGTTAAATGAATAATAAATCAATTGGGTAGGATATTAGTTAGAGAGCATCTTATTGGCTGAAAAGCTTTCATGTCATACTCAATGACTTGTATTGTGTACTTGAGCGTGCAATTAACAGCCTGGGGATATCAGTAGAGATTGTCTGTGTTGGTAACATTTAAAACATATAGCCTCAAGTAGGTGAGGGCGCTATTGTTCTAGCAAGGGTAATCATTCACAAAAAGCAGAAATTGGCCTACAATAATAATGATGAAAATGATGATGATGATATTAATAATTAATAATAACAATAAGGAAAATTCTCATATAAAAAGCACAAAAATATACATACGCCATTACATCATCATGTAGAGAACGGGCGTCGACTAAAAACAAAAAGGGTTATAAAGTAGTGAACAGGACAGGTGTCTGACGCCAATTCGCATCGTTAGAGGACGGGAACGCCGTCCTTGTCCACACAAACGAAAAGCCCCTAATAACTCTTTGACAGCGAGGTGCCCAAATATATCTTATATTTTTATATCGAAATTATATTTTTACCACGCTCATTCACCTCACTCGCTCAGAACATTTATCAAGAGGATGATTCTGGACAACGGGATGCCCGAATATATTTATATTTGTGCATGGAGGTGACTGAATATATAACTCTTGTATTCCTGTACATCTGTATTGGGCAGCGAGGTGCCCGCATACATAATTTCATATTGTATCTAGTGGATTTAAAAAAAAAAAAAATTTTTTACCACAGTGAAGATGCCTTTTTTGTGCTCACTCAAAAATGTTAGAAACAAAACCTGGGCATACATCGCACTTGATGAGTACCAGGGGCCTGTTCCTCAAAACCGTCATAAGTCTAACCTCTTGACTATCCCATTGAAACGCGTGTTAATTCTATAACACACGTTTCAATGGGATAGTCAAGAAGTTAGACTTATGATGGTTTCGAGGAACGGGCCCCAGGATGATGAAAAATTAAGGAATTAAGAATTAGAGCTCTGCAAACCTTGTTATTTCTCAAAAGGGTGTAGTGACTATAAAAATGTTGAAAACGCTGGTCTATGTAATCACTATAAGCTAGTTTGATAATATTAGAATTTCAACTATCACATTAATTAACTCATTTGCGTTTACCTTGTTTAAGAGGTTGAGTTCTGGGAAAGGTGAGAAATTTCTGAAAAAAATTGCTCTTCATTCAAACGCCCTCATTTTAAAAATATGACAAATTTTCTGTTGTGAACCATACTTTCCTGTCACATGTTTGTGAAGTCTGTAATACACATTTCTGTGTCCAGTACATGTGACTTAATTATAGCAAGACTGGGCAAAATTATCATTTTGACAACTTCAAAACTTCACGGTTTACACCAATACTTATGTTTTACATGATCAACCTTTCCAATCGCTTCCATATTGTTTATTTCGCAATGCAATCGCGCGATTATAGGACCCTGTTTCATAAAACTTGTTATCAATCACAAATGCTAAATTTCTATGACAAATCGATCCGCTCTCAGCCGATCAAATGCCACAATTTATAATGGTAATTGTAACCTGTTATCGAGGTTCATGAAAAAGGCGCTACTAGTATATTCATACCTTTCTGCAGTGTTAGGACCTGGATTGGTTTCAACGTCACCAGATCTCATCAAGAGGATCAGGAGCAGATAGAGAAGGCAGAATCCCTCCATGGTGTAAGATGTTCTTCTTACTTGACAGAAATGTGGTCCTCTCGAAAATGGTGATAATATGACATGGGCGACAATATACCTGAAAACAATATTTAGAAATATACATTAACATACATAAAACAGATGGAATAATGATCTTTGAGAGTTTTAATTTGTCCCCGCCCGCCTCCTTTTTTAAAACTATTTACTATTCAGGAGAAAAAAAAGCCCCCGCCTCCCCCCCCCCCCAAAAAAGCCTGTGATATACATTTTGTTTAAATAGCTTCTAAATCATTTTTTTGTCATACATTGCATCAGTATACTCACATAGCACAATACCTGTGAATAAATAGGCTTGGCCAGCTATAATTAGCATGGCAGACATCTCTGGAAAAAATTGCAAAATAGTAGTAATTGTCCTGCCTCCTCCTTTTTTTTAAAGTGTGGACAAGAAACACGTTATTTTTGTTATTTGGCCTAATAATAATAGTCTTAATTGCGTAAGGTTTTTTTTTGGGGGGGGGGGGGGCTTTGCTGACGCCTCCTTAAAGGGCAAGTCCTCTCCAAAAATAACTTACTTTCAATACAAGCAGAAAAACCAATCAAAAAAAGTTCAAGCAAAATCAGATAAATAAGTAAGTTATGAATTTGTAATGACATCAAAAACTTGGAGTCTGTGACCTCATTGTCTCACTTTCCACTACTGGTACTTGTTTTCTTTGATTGATAATACAATTTTCCCCCTAGAAATTTTATTTCCTCGCGACCACACCAGCATCCAAGTTATATTAATAGTAAAAAATGCACTAACATAGAGTAATTATTTATCAGTTAAATCATGACAAATTTGAATTTTGATAAACTATTTATACTAATATTTAACTAATTATATATATAATAATAAATCTTACATGTTGAACCCCCCTCCCCCCCCCCCCCCCCCCCCCCCCCACCGGACTCTAGTCATACACTTACACTTGCACTTTTAAAGGTGAAACAAGAATCAAAATGATGACTGTACTGTAGTCTTTATAAAAGAATAACTACAACCACAGCTGTACGTACTGTGCAGTACAATAGGGACTTTTAGATTTGCACGAAGACAATGTGGATTGCTACGGTCGACGTCCTTTTAATGCGCTGCCTTGAATGGACGTCACACGTATCAGTCCACGCAAATCTAAAAGTCCCTATTTACATATTGAGTATCCCCCTCCCCCCCCCCCCCCCCCCCCCCATCATACAACTAACAACTAGGAAGAAGGTTATTTGAAATAGACTAACCTTGTTTTGGTTTGATCAGGTTTAGGCCTACAAGACAGCATGCCACGCCGTCGACTAGACCGAATCGAAAGCTTCAGTCTCTGAGTCTGAGTCTAGACCCTGCCTATCCGTTGTTCCGACGAGACTGAATCTGACTTAAATGGCAGTTTTACCCATAGCTAGTCATACCAGACAGTTATTTCTGATTAATCGTCGACAGACTTAAATCCAAATCTACTACAACTGAAGAAAGATCTTAGAATTTAGTGAGATAAATCACCGACTCGAACTCGGAAGCGAGGTATTTCTGGTAGAAAATGGCGAGGATTTATTAATATAGCAACTGCATGAGCGAATGAAAGGGGAATCCCCGGCTGCGCGTATTTTGTTTTCTTCTTCTTCTGCCCATCTACGGAAGCCCATTAGGCCTAAAGAAAATTGCTGTATTGCCCTATGGATTTCTTTCTTCTTCAATATCATATGCAGAAAGCAAGAGAATTTTTTTTTTTTTTTTTAAAGCCGACCCGTCGTAGATTTCAAGATTTGTGGGTCGGTCGCAAAGGGCAATACAGTGCCCCATGGGAATTAAAATTTAAGTGGAATTAACCGGGGAATTGACTGGCGGCCACCAGATAATTGGCATGTTCAGTGTCAGTTTCAGGGGCACAGGGGGCAAGTGCCCCCTCCCCCCCCCCCCACCCCCCGGTAAAAAATAGGGGGAAGGGAGGAAAGAAAAGGAGAAAAAGGAGGGGAAAGGAAGAGGGAAGGAGAGAGGAGAGCAAAGGCGGAAACGATCTAGAAGTGATTGATTGTGGAAATTGTATACGTTACTGTATAGTAATTAAGTTGTTAATGTACTCTCTTAAAGTATTTTGATGCAAACTGCTGATTAACCATACACGTGGGTCCAGAAATGTCAGCTGTAGAAAGCCCATACTGTGGGCATGTATATTTGTTTCATGTCTAGTGGTGAAAGAAGTTGATTTCTCTCAAAAAATTTACTGACATGGAGGACAAGACTTAATTTTGTATTTCAAGTACATAGGCCTACCACTACCAGTACAGTTGTATTCAAAGTTTTTTGTAGTTTTCTTCTGTTGGAAATCAAAATGATATAAAGAAATTGTGTTTGGATATCAAATTTCATGAAAATTTCATGTACAGATCATCTTTTCCTGTGATTTGTTCACATAGTTGTGGATCTCTTGGGTATATCATCATCTGCATATTATTCATGTTGACAGATTTCTACTCGTGCAAACACTCTCACTCCTCACATCCTTATGCAACAAAGATAATGTCATGTGGGACATATCTATGTTTGTTGTGATATCTGTGAACCTGGTATTTTTAAAAAAAAAGCACAATATGTAATCATTATTTTTGTTCATCTTTCATATTCATTTTCCATGTTAACAGCATTATTTTGTAGGGTTTCGTATCCACCTTCTACAAGCTGGCACATTAGGGATGAATAATACATGCTGGCTGGAAGTTACGGAAATATGTTCGGGAAGAAGTGGATTTCAGCTGCAATCATATTAATATGTTGGTAGACCTCCGACCAGACATTTTCCCCTCAGAGTGTAAATTGATGAAAATGTCTGGAAGGAAATTGAGATAATAACAGATCTCTGACTGTGTCACACCATAACTCTGAAATGAAAACATACTTGAGTCTATACGTGCTGTAAATTAAGAATAATATTTTGAAAGATCTTCCATCTAATTGACACAAAGCATCTATTTCTATACATGCACTACTTGTAGCTACTTGCACCCTCTATATAACAAACCATGCCTAATCGGTGACCATTGGTCCCCCATAATCGTCTTTTTCTTATGTTAACTGAGAGCTGAGTTGATGAGATAACCATCTGTCCAGTGACCTTGCAGGGCAGTCTAATCCCTCCTGTAAACTATGGTAGATACGCTTTAACAAGAAATTAAACTTTTTGTCGTGTTTACCTTAAAAGGACCCGTTGTCTTTATAACAAAATAATGCAATCGCTATTTACAAGAAAATAAGATGTTTTGGGCCAATTTGAGAGGAGACCTTTTTATTTTCCATCAAACTAAGCGAGAAGCAAACTCAAAATTAACTTAACTAATGCTTCCTACTGTGGAGGGGGTTGTGACCCCTTCCTATCAGACCCACCACCGATTGGCCGATTGGTCGCTCCGCTCCCTCGCCCTTAAGTCATAAATGACAGTAATGAGGATTAATACCCCATAAAAAGGGCACTAATATAGCACATCGACACGGTTTTGATCCTGGGACTTCACAGTTACGAGGCCATTGCTTTGCAACTGAACCATGACTGTACGCAGCGGGGGCCAGGGTAGGGGGCAGTTCCCATAAAAAAATATTTAAAAATGCAATAAATTATCAATAATTCATTGCATTTTACCCCGGTCCCCAACATAAACAAATCCTCTGTACGGCCATGTATTATGGCTCAAGGCATGAGCACACAGAATTTTTTTTTCTGTTGGGGACCGGGGGTAAATTCAATGAATTATTGATAATTTATTGCATTTTCTTTGTTGTTTTTTATTTGTGGGAATTGCCCCCTACCCTAGCCCCCGGCTGCGTACAGTCATTGAACTAAAGATATACTTGAACAAAATAACTGCTACTCGAATAGTATTCAAAACAAAACATGTTAGTGTTCTAAGTTTAGAGAATAAGGGGTCTGTGTGATAGGAACTGTGTTTCTATCGCTCTAAAGTCGGATATCTTGAAGGAATTGCTAATAACCGAGATCTCTGGCAGGGGCTCGATTTAAAGGGGAATCCAACCCTTGTAATAATTTGATTTGTATGAAAGCAGAAAAATAACACAAACAGAATGACAAACGTTTGTAATGAATCGGATCAGTACGTAGTTAGGAAGTAATGAATGTTTAAAATAATTATGAGATCACCAAGTCTATGCGAATCTCAAATCGGTAGTTTGGTCAGTGGATTGTGACGTAGGACGTGGATAACTCTCCTATTTGCCGTGTATAGAAATATCATTGATTTTCTCGTAAGTTATTTTTCGATCCCTTGGGGCACTACTCAAAATATATTATATATCATATTTCATTTTTTTTTAAAGTCATATGTTAGAACAGATGGGAAAGTAGTCCGGTACTACATTACATTGACAATACCTCTTCAGCTAATTTGAAGTGCATATACGTATAGCGATTACAACTTTCAAAAATACACAACTTTCTTATATTTAAGCAGATTTAATTGAAACTTCATCAGTTTTCTTCTCTGATTTGTCTGCTTTCTTTTTGAGTGGTTGTCTATTTGGGTTGGATTTCTCTTTAAGGAGGAACCCTAGACCCTATCGAAAACAATCCTAATTTGTCCTTTAATCATTTTTTTTTTTTGGGGGGGGGGGGGGTGGAGTGTCGGTGTCACAGAGAATATTTTTTTGTTTTCATAGGTTTTTATTCATTAATCGTCCTTGTTTTCACGAAGTGACGGTGGTGAGAAAAATCGTAACGCAAAGTGAATGCAATTTTTTTTTCACTACCGTCACTTCGTGAAAACAGGAAGGAAAAATTGTACATATACAAACTAACAAAATAATTTTAACATAGGTCTTAATAAATTTGCAAATGAACTTTTACATTTACATACAAGGTTCCAACTAAAGTTACACATTTACAGATGAAAAATATTCACATATTAAACAAAATTATATTTTCACCAACAAAAAAAACAACAACAAAAACAAATCGCAAATAAAGTTTGTACTATTTTCTCGACCAGTTTGATTATAAATCTCAAATTATATCTTTTCCATAATATTCTGTTTTCCTCAAAAATTTCCTTAAGAGACAAAACAAATGATATATATAAAAAGAGAAAGAGCTAGAAAACATCTTCTACCCCCCGCCCCACACAACATTCATAATACAAAATCGGGGAATATGATTTCAAACGATATAAAACGATAGCGACAGTGCAAATTTCGAAGGGCCTCGGGGCGCAATCCCCAAAAGTGGCCCTAAGGCGTGCCCTTGGACTCAATCCATAAAGATTGAAGTGATTCCAAAAACACCTCTTTGTTGTATAAAATTGTCGTTAGGAATGGGTTATCGTTTCTATCGCTCAAGACGGCTAACTTGAAGGTTTTTAATATAGCCCTTTGAAGTTCACGCGATTAACAGAAGTATAATTGGAAGAAGAAGAGCACTGTGATAATAGGGCATATTTTCACAAGGGGGTGAGGCCTCTTATACCTCTTGAAGAATAACTTGGGGGGGGGGGCTTTGGGATGTATACGAAGTTCTTGCATTCATTTTCTACACGTGTCTTGCGATTCTTTTTTTTTTGGGGGGGGGGGGGGCTTGAGGAATTTATTATTTTGTCTCTTTCGTTTGTTAGCCTCTTATTTGGGTATAGGGTCGGCTCAGATAGAGAGGAGCCGCCGACCCTACCCAAATAAGAAGCTATTACGTAGGCCTATGAAAGAGACAGACATTTTCGGTCTAGATCTGCTCCTGATGGAATTAAAAGGCGGCTCTATATTATTGTTATTCCCAATCAGGCGCGTAGTACGCAGGGGGGGGGGGGGTTGGGGTTAAACCCCCCTTTAGCTTATTTTATGTCTATATTTTTAAGCAAACCCCCCCCCTTTTGTGATTTTTTGTTTTTTGTTTTACCTTACCCCCCCCCCCTTCAGAGCAAAAAGTCAAATTTTAAAATTTTGAGACCCCCCCCCCCCCCCAAAAAAAAATGTCCTCTTACCCCCCCCCCCCCCCGCAGCGGCTGGCTGAGTCGTTGCATAATTTTTGGCCCGATTTCAAAATGTTATGTCCCCCCCCCTCGAAAAATCCTGCGTACGCCACTGTTCCCAAGTTCTACCTTCTCTAACTTTGTTTGCCACTTCCCCATTTTAGATTTAGAGAAGGATCTAGAAGAAGACAGAATTAAAAGAAGAATATAAGAAGAACAAGAATTAACACGGAAGAAGAATAACAACAACAGCAACAAGAACAAATAAGAAGAACAAACAAATTCAAATTCAAATTCAAACTTTATTGATTTCAATCCAAACAGATAGGATCATTCTAAATTTTTGGTGATTGGATAACAAATTTCAAGTTATTGTATAGCATTGGTTATTGAGTGTAAGAGTAAAGATAACCGTAACGTACCACTGCATGTCTAGCTCATCTGCAATATAATCAGGGGCGTTAGACAACGGGGGGGGGGGGGGGATGAGGGGGATGCATCCCCCCACCTCACAAGGTGGGGGGATGGCATGTACAATCACCCCCCCCCCCCCAGGTTTTGGGGAATGATATTTGCTTACTTAATAAGTCATAATGATGATAATAATAGTAATAATAATAATGATAACAATTATAATATTAATAATAATAATAATTATGATGATGATAATAATAATCCTCATCATTATTGTAATTGTGTTTATTGTTATTAGCCGCATTCACACGGTGAAAGCCAAATTCAGACGGTAAAAAAAAGAAAATCTTACAAGTATTTTGTGGTTATCTTGTGGTTTGGAAACCACAAGATAACCACAAGATTAAACAGGCGCGGATCTACGGGGGGGGGGGGGGGGGGGTTAGGGGGTTTAACCCCCCTTGGGCGGCCCAAAAAACAAACACAAAAAAAGGGGGAAAAAAGAAAGAAAAAAAAAAGAAAAAAAGAAAGAAAAAAGAACGCACGCTGGAGAGAAACCCTTTCAAGTGCAAATATTGTGAGAAGATATTCAACTCATCTGGTAACTTACTCTGGATATAACTGTGTATTTAACTGTTACTTGATTTAAAAAGACGTTATCATGCACTGCTTTTTATGGTCTCCATTGTGTTAATAGATGCCAGGAAAACATCACTTACGGGGTTCAAATAAACACCCCAAAAAAAATCGGCTCGGCGCTTCGCGGCTCGTGGACGATGCTCCGCATCGTCATTATTGGTCAACCCCTTAGCAAAAAGATAGATCCGCCCCTAAGTCATCCCCCCAGGTGTACGAACCTGTCTACGCCACTGAATATAATACAGGGATGGGAATAAATTATATTACTTGTAATACTCTATACAATTTTCACCCTTTTTCTTTTCAAATAAAAGGAAGGAAACAAAATATAAATACAACATAGTAAGACAATATCTTTTATGATCACCAAATTTAGATCATCCCGACAGCTCCACCCTATTCCTGAAACTCGTGGGAGACAGTGAGCATGGGAATACATAATGCCTTTTACAATACATAATTACATCGCGATTAATGAGACACAATCAATGACCTACTAATATCTTATGCACAAACAAGAACAAGGAAAATAGTGTAGAAGAAGAAGAGAGTGGAGGAGGAGGAGGAGGAGGAGGAGGAGGAGGAGGAGGAGGAGGAGGAGGAGGAGGAGGAGGAGGAGGAGGAGGAGGAGGAGGAGAAGGAGGAGGAGGGGGGGGGGGGGGTGAGAGGAGGAGGCCGGAGGAAGAAATAAATGGGGGGGGGGGGGGGGGAGGTAGCCCATGCTCCTCCTCCCGCCCTTCTCCGTGGGCCCCGTCATTATGATTTCAGTTTTCGATTTTCTGTACGAACACACAGTAGATCATGCAACTGCAAGCGCAAGATGGCAGTAGTAAATATCAGCGGAAGTGTTTGGAGTTCAATACATTTTGATAACAGTTGTCGTGATGGCGATCAGGTAATATGATATATTATTCTGTGATTTGGGAAGATCATTTGTAAATTTTAGATGTCATATTACCATCAGAACTTGGTAAAATTGGAATAGGAAATCAGAGGCCAGAGGTGGGGCAGTCATTTCTTTTTAGCAGCCCCACACGTTGGAAATCATGTTGGGTCTTTGCGTGTAATTTCAGACAGCTTGGGCGCCTTGGCCATCAGCGTCGGTTCATTGTTTTTTTCTTCAGAAAAACAGGCGAAGGATCTTAGTCACACTCAACCCCATAGCCGCAAGCAATTTCTGTTGAATGTTCATGAATCACACCCTTGGTGTATTTAAATCTAACAATGCATCGTACATCTAGAAAGAAATTAGACCCAAGTTTTAAACTATTTTAGACCAAGTCATAACAATTATTCTTCAATTTTGCCTTTGAAGTTAAAGAGAAGGTTGAGTTCTGGGAAGAGGTGAAAAATAATTTGTGAGCATTACTCATTCTTATTATGCAAGTGTGGAAGAACATCAGTTAAGACATGTTCCCTGAAAAGCATGGCTCTTCAAATGCCTTCATATTCTAAATATGCATGTAACATCGTAAAAATCGGGGGGCTGGCTTTTTACGCCACGTGTTCGTGTAGTCCCATATACATCTTTTTGTGCAAATGTTTGTAACTTTACCAAGGCTTGGCCAAATTTCTTATCATTTTGATGATTCCAGAACCTTGCAATACACACAAATTCTTATATGCTAGTAGCCTTTAAACAAGGCCACTTGTCTGATAGACGCCGAGCGACTAAAACGAGACTAATCGCGAAAACCCAAGTGAACGCGAGAGCGAGGAGCCCATCCTAGTGGCCTTTATCAATCTGATTTGGATTTCTTATGTTAACCATTGTTTCCGACTGGAATTCGCTCCAGAAAATAGAGCGTCCAATCAGCGAACGTATCCTCGCACGACGTCAGCATATAGTATCCATCACACACACACACACACACACACACAGTAAACTCTACGTAGTGCGAACATGGACCTACATGCTATGAACTATTACGTACGTGCTAAGACCACTGACCTCTACATGGAACGAATCACGAACGAAGCCAACTGGGAGATCGCCGTTCTGATTGGTCAATAAATCCAAAGTAGGCGTATTGGCATGCTAATATGTATCTATGAATAATTCATGCGGAGCAGTGAAACCCACTTCTCAAAAGGCCTCGTGACGTTCCGTCACTCGGTCGCGCGTTCACTCCGGGTATCTAGACTCATCTCAGCCGCTTAGAGTCACGAGGCCTTGTCAAAAGGCTAATATGCTAGATGATCAACCTTTTCTGGTCGGTTCCACACCGTTTCTTTCACAATGTAATCGCATGACCAGAACTCAACTTCATCTTTAAGGAGAAATTGCGAGAAAAAAAATTGGTTCACATGCAGTAGCATATATAACCGATAACATAAACAAATCCTATGAAAACCTGTGGAAAATTGCAATGCAACCCTGTGTTGTATTTCTTGACATGGGCTCGAGACGATTAACTCAATTTTTCTTGTGTCGCTCTAGAGTCTCCTCTACTCTCTAGGCTATAATTTAAAGGCCCACTGCACTACTTGTAGCTACTTGCGCCCTCTATATAACAAACCATGCCTAATCGGTGACCATTGGTCCCCCATGATCCTCTTTTTCTTATGTTAACTGAGAGCTGAGTCGATGAGATAACCACCTGTCTAGTGACCTTGCAGGGCAGTATAATCCCTCCTGTAAACTACGGCAGATAAGCTTTAAAGATCAGTTTCCAATTGAATTATTTGGAAGATACCATTTATTTGTTTGTTCTTGTGCAATACATGTACAAAGTTTAGTTAAAGTATGAACAAAAATGTTTTCCATCATTACCAGCACTTGAGTCTTAAAGGTACTATGTCCCTTTTGCAGCCAACCTCAAATGCTGTAGAACTTTGCAGGAATTATGAATATGTCATGTATGTCCTATCTGTGACATTTAAACGTTAGCAGTGTCCTCATATTCAAATTATGCAAGGAAACCTGTTTACTTGCTAGACTTCACTGTCAGACACTATTGAGTGACTGACTGGCTTTTTTCTTCTTTGATAATAACATACATGAACAGTTGTAAAGGGTACATGAGCATTTTGTCTACATCAATAACCCACTTCTTGTGATGGCCAAGATTAAACTGATTGAATCTTTGCGCAGCATAAAACGTATGACTATTCGGTACAATTGTCTGAAAATCAAGACTATTACTTTTGGACTCTATAGCCTTAAACTCGATTTGACAACCAATAGTCGTTATTTCCCACTTAAAGACATTTTCAAGCCCCACCTTTTTTAGGGAAGTTCTAAATTAGTATTATCTTTCAAATGCAGTTGGAATTTAACTTTTTCATTTTTTTGGCCTGCAAATGGGACATAGTACCTTTAACTAAAATTACCTTTAATTTTGTTTATGTTTTAAATCTGTATGAAATATGCTACATAAATTCTGTGTATTGTTATTGGATCTATTGCCCAAGAAATAAATCAGAACATAAATACATGTTTATTTATTTACTCATTTAATTCTAGGCAGAGAGAGAGAGAGAGAGACCGAGAGAGGAAGTCAAGTGTAAATATGGAATAAAAGTCCAAGCCAATATGAATATATGTATGCAGTTTGTGTACACTGTGGTCAAATGCACACCAACAAGAAAAACATATCTCCAAATCTTGAACAATATTACAAGTTTCCAACTTTTGCTTTTAATCTTTAAATTTTTCTTGATATAATTATTTGCAGGAAGGATTTCTTATTGGTGAAGTCACATACAGGGAGACAACAGACATCAGTGATTCTCAAATGGACAGAAAAACAGAAGAAGTTGATATAAGTAAGTATAATTATGGCTTGGCTTGAGAAAGTCCACAAAAGTGGAGTGGTTGAGAGATTACTTCCATGGTACATGTAGTTGCTTATTGAGAAGGTTGAGTTCTAGGAAGAGGTGAAAAATAATTTGTAAGCATTATCATTGTATTATGCAAGTGTAGAAGAACATCAGAGAAAAAATGTTTTCTGAAAAGCATGGCTCTTCAAATGCCTTAATATTCTAAATATGGCATGTAACATCATGAAAATCTGTACAGATTTTTATGCCACATGTGTTTGTGTAGACCCATACATCTTTCTGTTTACAGTGCTTGTACCTTTACCAAGACTGGGCCAAATTTCTTATCATTTTGATGATTCCAGAACCTTGCAGTACACACCAATACTGATATGCTAGATGATCAAAGATCAAAGATAATTTGTAAACTTAAGTTCTGTTATATAGATGTATATACATGTACAGGCAGTATATTCAGTTTTTTGTTTTTTAACGGTATAGTAAATACTGCTTTTGGGTGCCTTATCAAAAAAAAAAATATTACGAAACAAGTATGTTGTCTGTCTGGTTTTTTTTTAATTCCAGGTCCATCAATGAGCTAAACTAATTAAAGAGAAAACAACTTTACAATTTTCCTCTAAATCCAATCTTTTTCTTCCCTTCAGATGTCACCTCCCATTGTCACTGTAGAGAGCCATTCAGGTATGTATTATTTACATGTACCCGGTATGTACATGTATGACCATTTCTAGGTTCCCAGAAGGCTGCATACATGTAGTTCTAAAATACGCTGTGCCCAAAATTTGCAGTCGCTCAGCTGCCATTGACATCCAAAATGCACTGGGGTATTACTTATAAGCATTGCCTTTGTCTTCCTCATGGCGACTAAAATACACTGATTTACTATTGTGTAGGGTGCATAGAGATGTCATGAGTATTACTATCATGCGCTATATGAAAATTAAATTATTTTTAAGTTAGTCCCATTCTGAACTTATGGCAGGTCATACAATTTTTACAGCACTGTACTAAAGAAAAACCCATTTATGTAATATAATTTGTGTTACAGTTACAGTTATGTTACAGATTATTTTCAGGGAAATACTATTTTGTATTGTATCTCTTTCTCTTTCAGCTTCTATGATACCTCTGGCCATGTTGACCAAATTAAGATGTTAGCTCTACTTCGATCAAACTACAAGGTACATGTATGCAGAATAATTAAGAAAGTAGATAACGTAGACCAACATTTTCATTCCTTTCTTCATTATTTTATTTCTCCTCTCTCTTTCATCTACCTCCTATCTCTCACACTCTCTATCTCTTCTTCTCTTCGTTCTTTCTCTCTTCTCCTTTTTAGCTTATTAGATTCACAATTTCACAATCTTTGTTTCTTATTTCTAAGATTTTATGCGATGCACATTTTGAAATCGGTGATTGCTTTCCTCTAATGAATTCATAAATACAGGAGAAAATTAATGTCACCTTTGGATTTTTTCTTGCCCAGAATGTCATCGGTTTCTATCGCTTCCGACGTAACACAATGCTGCAGCCTTCACTGAGAGAGATGGCCCTCTATCAGCGTCTTCTAGCCAGTCTACCAGGCGAACCTCAACCCGCAACTTTCATCTTGGGAATCTTCTCTGGCAATAGCACCTCTAACCTAGCCACTCACTCCTTCCCTTATCAGCTTTTCACATACAGCTTCAAGTAAGTAATCTCACAGTTACATTCTCACATAGCTTTCATACATATGGTTTGATTGTCTAGAAAATCTTGTGCAGTGTTCTAGTTTTTAAACTCCTTTATCTTTCTCATTGTGACAAGACATTCTGAGATTCTCACAACATATCAAAATTCTGATGATTTAAGCATACATATATCTCTTATTGGCCAAATAAAAAGTAGTTGGTCATTCTTACCCCATACGTTAAGTATCATAGAAAAGGAAAACATAATTTTGATTTATACAAACATGCATTTTGTGTGATTGCTGTTCTACAGTAGTAGGCCTGTCAACTTAAACAAAATTTGTTGATGTTGTTGATAATGTATGGGACAAAATACTCGGCCTGGACTTGCCTTGCTAGAAGTATTAAAATCTTAATTAGGAGAAGTCATTGGTCATTGTTTTTGTACAGACGACATACCGGTACCTACAGATACGTGTAGTGCATTTATATCCACCTGTTCAAGCACCGATGAAAAGTGTTTATTCTGAGCCACTTAAATTACAGGCAAAAGACCCCCATTTCTAGCAAGTCAGGTATAAGCAAAATGTGATGCATAGATGATAGCATATAGGAACTCCTGAAAGACTATGTAATAACTCCATCAGTATTTTCAAAGAGATACAATTCAAGTGAAATGTGAATGTGATGCATTGCATAATATGTAAGAACCTGTGAATACCACAAGTAAATGTATTACAGTCAAACCTGCTTTAGTGACACCTGTATAGAAAGACCACATTTTTGTTGGTTTCCCTTGAAACAGTTTCTCATCTAAACATGTAATAAAGCAATCTGTACATAAAGACCACCGGTTTATAAAGACCATTTTTCTTGTCTCCCTTGAGTGGTCTTTATAGACAGGTTTATTCATCACCTTCCTTTTTATAATCTTCTTTTTATTTACAGTGGTTTTTCAGCAAGAAAGGTGTCTGTAGTGAACTTAGGAGACACAGCTGAATCAGAGTACAAACTCTCACCGGTCCAATCTTCGTTGTCTTCTGACAATGGAGGCTTTCAACATATCCTCAAAAACTACAGGTCAGTTGCTAGATCTATCCCTCTAACAATTTATGTGACACTTCAAAAGGACTATAGAAGATTTAGTACAGTCAAACCTGTCTATAAAGGCCGCTCTATGAAAATAGACACTGTAGACAGGTGGCCTTTGTAGATGGGTTCTGCCAGACATATCTTTCTCGAGGGAGACACAGTACATGGCCACTATAGACAGATCTATGGTCTCTGTAGAGGGATGGCTGCTGGGACAGGTTTGACTGAATGTTTTAAATGTAAATAATCATTGAGTTCCAGTGCCAACATATTATATAGACAATTACAGTCAACCTGTCTGTTAAAGTCATCCAAGGGAAACAGAAAAAGTGGCCTCTGTAGACAGATTGCCTTTCTAGGCAGGTTCTACAACGTATTTCTTTCTCTAGGGAGACAAAATACATGGCCACTATAGACAGGTGACCACTGAAACAAGTGTGACTGTAACCCTTTTTTATATCCAGGGACAGTGATCTGAAGAGAATATGAATAGAAAAAAATGTTCTTTTAATAGTTGTAGAAAAAAAAAAAGAATATGGAAGATTTAGTATGTTTTCACATGGAAATATATGTTGACTCTAATTGCAAAATATCTTTATATATCCATAACAAATTCCAAGGAACAAAGATTTAAGAACGGTTTAAGAAGATATAAAGAAAAATAATAAACAATTAACTAAAGGACCTGGGCAGAATAGGTTACTACCTCCTATCCAAACTGGTAATGACCATGTACTTTCTTTGTGCATCATATTTTTTCATTAAAATATCACTGATGTATCAGAAAAATAACTTGATGAATATAAGTGTGCGCTTGTAAAAAAAGACGCCTGGCTGGAATTCTCCCCAGGGAGTGAAGAATGTGCATACATTGTGTGCGGGTAAGCCTGAATCCTATGACCGGGGTAATAATATATATCTGTAAAGCGCTTTGAGAGGGCCTTCGGTCCTGAAAAGCGCTATATAAGAACTAGCTATTATTATTATTATTATTATAAGAAAATGTTGAAAGTATAAACACTACTGATGAAGATGGATACAAAACTTTTTTACTGCTTTTCGTTTACCCTCTGTATTTTATTTCTCTTTACTGATTCTCTTTCTTTCTCTCTCTTGGACAAATCAGCACTCAATTATTGGGTCCAAATGCCACGCTTTCTGGTGTTCAGACCGTACGGAACCTGAATAATGACATCCACAACAAACTTCAGGTAGGAATACATAAATGAAGTTAGACCAGGGGGGTGTTTCACAAAGATCCTAAGTTTAGCTTATCTCTAAGTTGGACTTAACAATTATGGAGAGCCATTTGTAGCCTTAAAACGAAATATATTCAAAAGAGCAAATTCAAGTATTTTAGACTTTTTATAATTCCACATCTAGAACATGAAATCTCCTTGATAATAGAAAATGTGAATGAATTGAATGAACATTTTATGCCTTTAAAAATAACTTTTACAAAATATTTTCAAAGATGCTAATGGCTTTCTATAATTGTTAAGTCCAACTTAAAGATAAGTTCAACTTAGGATCTTTGTGAAACACCCCCTGGTCTAATTCTCAAAGTTCACGTATTCTCTTTCTTCATCATTTCTAAAATGTTTCCTAACATTTGGAAACTTATCATGTAAATTTATGTGTTAAAACTATAAAGTTTGTGCCTTCTACGCCATAAACAAGCAACAAAAAAAAAATCATATAGCAAAGTAAATACATATTCCCTCTGAAAGGAAAAAAAGGAAAACAATCTTTGTTTCCTGCTGGAGTATAACAATTTATCATGCAATGTTAAGATAGAAAAACAAACAAACCATGAATTTCATGACTTTTTTCTTCTTTCATTACTCATTTTAACCGGATATAATTTCTATCTGTTGAAATAAATGATGATACTTCAATCGGTTCTATTACACATACTCTAGTGACTATTCCTCCATGGTTAGTATCCGATACTAATCACATTCATGCTGTAAACTCTTGACTTAACAATACAGTGTATACCTGACCCCATCCCCAACCCTAAACCTACAAGTAACCTAATACCTCAGTCACACCACCGAGACCCACACCACACCTTCATGTACAACAGACCAACAAAATAAACATTTGCTGAATGGCTAAGAATCAGTCCTTAAGAGGGCAGTCTGGAGTCGGTTTGGGGGTGGGACTGAAGTATAAAAACTAAATTCAATTACAACCCTAACCATACATCTGTGACAAAAAATCACGCCCAAAGCTGTTGTGGCCAGAGAAAAGACCAGGGGGGCGTTTCACAAAACTTGTCATCAGTGACAAATGATAGTTTTTGTTATAAGCTTCTGATTGGTTATCAGCAGATTTGTCAATGAATTTTGTCATTGAAAAAGGCTTTGTGAAATGGGTCCCTGGGGTCACATACCATTCCATTAACCTTTGACTATTTTCTACTGCTTTACAGGAAGTGAAACAGAAAGTGACCGATACAGAAGGGAGGCTTGGTACTCTGGGTCAAGAGGTCAGTGAGCTGAGACGAAGAGCTCAGAGACAGAGACACGACAAGGCCGAGAGACAAAGAGCGACTGGACAGGTCCTTAATACCAACAACAATGCAGGTATGTGTTGCCATGGAAACCAGTCACTTTGACACGTGTTAATGATTTGCACAGTACACTTATTTATCAAAATAATTTTGTGTCTTCTATATTGCCTGGTAATATGTCAATAGGAAGGTTCATTTATAGTGATTTTATTGTATTTTGACCTCAGAAGCATTTGTAACATGATATTCTACCTTGTGTAGGAACAAGCCATATAAATATTGTAACATTTACTGGTACATGTCTGTATGTTCCTCCTTGACTACCGGTACACTGTCACTTTAAGTAATACAAAGTTTTGGTATGGGGTCATGAATTTAGTTCAAATGAACATATTGGAAGCAAATGCAATTTTATAATATTCGATGATCGTTGTCGCGGTTGAAAACGAGTCTAAAGAGATGGAATTGTAAATAATGAACTCATTATGTTGTATAGCGCCCTCTCAAGACTGATATTACTTTTGCTTGAAAACAATATTTCTTGACTACATTCGAACGATTTGCTATTCCCGTTTGGAAATTATGTATCATAAATGCATATTCTGACATTTTCATGGTTCCGGCTACCATGGAATGACCTTAGACGCTATTCGAAATATTTGAAATTTACCGGGAGCACCAGTAAATTTTTGATTATTCAATATCTCGAAAGCAGAAGTGTTTTAGGGGTTAAATTTTCTTGTGCTTATAATACATCCTTAGGGGCATCCAAATATATCAAAATTGTAAAGAATTACTATCCATCCAATTTTCAAAATTTACCAAAACTTTGCATTTTTCTGTAATTTTTTTCTTTTACAATTCAGGCCTTCCCAGGCTGCCGCCTTCAACATCGTATGAGAAACAGTTGCCTCTAGCAATGGAAACAAAACCCACCTCCACCGTTTTTAATACATCATCATCTGCATCCGGTGATTGCCTTGGATCGCATCCAACGATAGCCAACCAATCTGCAGAGAAACGGTCGCCTCTAGGAACGTCCATACCGGACAACTCCGTGGTAGAGGAACCTATGGAAGCGAAACCGTCCGATCCTTTTGCTGGACTCCTTAAGGACATGAAGCAGAGCCTGTCCAAAAGCAGATCATCGAGCATCAACTCTACTGGAAAGGACAGTTCCTCGATGGAAGGCCCCGTGCAGGGCAGCGTGAACGGAGCTGATAACAGGACGCTTGATTCCAGAGAAGCTGAAGGGAAGAGCCAGGAGGCGTCACAAAACCCTGAAGTGAACAATGAAATGAACGATGATGACGATGAGACTCAGATCCAAGATGAACAGCACTACAATGCCACTTTGTCACCAACATTTTAGTACAGAGAGCTTTATCTTCTTTTTTTTTTAATGAATGACATAAGGATAGGTAGATTGAGATGGTCTGGACATGTGGGTAGGCCAGAGAAAAGCTACTGGTTAAAGAGAGCAATGAATTTCCCGGTCGCAGGCTCCAACCCTGTGGCAGACCTTGCAGAACTTGGAAGGAGACATCAGAGGAAGATATGTGACTTTCTGGCCTCCCTTAAGTGAATACTGAAGACAGTGGGGTTGGGTAAAGGCCATCAAGGAAATGAAACATCCAACCTCACAGCATGAGAACATTAGATGTTAAATGATTAAAATGTGATGATAATGATGTTTGTCCATTAGAAATGTGGTGCCGCATATTGTGGCATGGTACATTATCTATTAATGTAAGAAATCTATGTTCTGAATAACTCGCCATGCTAGAGCAGGAAGACCAAAAGACCAAAAAGTACTACCTACTTATTTTTCATTTTTGTTGCTGTATTTGCTCTTTTCAAGGCAATTTTGTAATCTAGTCATGATGAGAATTTTTTCCCACAAATTCAAAGCATATTTACACCAACTGTTGAATTTCTAAAAGAAACAATATCTGCCAAACAAATTTTGTAGAAAATTGATAAGAGCTTAAAATTGATTAAATGAAGATGAGAAACTGAAGCTAGGCATCCAGACTGTGTGTAGAGCAATACAACATATGGCTTTCAGTGAATTTGATTTGCATAAAGTTTTTGTCGGCCTTTAGTTTATGTTTTCTTTTCTGGTTCAACCAACCAATCTTCTGCATGATACATTTCACATAATTCTCCTTTGACATGCAATCCCATCACCAGAACTCAAGATTAGCTTGAACTAAGTTTTAAGCAAGGAAATTAACATTTAAAACATTACAATTGGCATTACATGTAGATGCTGAAAATTACAATTACATCTGTAATTTATACTGTGACATGTAATGTTTGCCGGTATATTGATATTTCAAAAGCTACATGTACATTCAATTACACCTATGTACCAGTTGTCTAGAAATCTTAGTGTTGACAATTTAAAGAGGGAACTCTTATCCATTCGCCCTTTTACAAAATTCATATTCTGGATGGGTCAGTGTATGTTCATTGATATATCTCATGAAAATGAATCACCATCATCAGATATATAGTCTCATGGTTAGATATTCTTTGCCGGTACAAAATAGAGGTTTGATGTACTCGTTAAAGCCCCACTGTCCTACTTGTAGCTACTTGCTCCCTCTATATAGAAAACTTCCCCAATCGGTGCCTTTTGGTCCCCCATGATCCTCTTTTTCTTATGTTAGTTGAGAGCTGAGTTGATGAGAAAGCCACCTGTCAGTGACCTGGCTGGGTGGTCTAATCCCTTCTGGCCCAGTAGTATTGACGGTCTTTAACGTAATTATGCTGCAAGGAAATTGGTGAAAATTATTAAAAACGGATGCAAAAAGAAGACCAGTACAAAGTCGAATTTATACATCTATTTTTTTTCTTCTGTATGTGTAGGTACTGATTCAATGTAGGACTGAGAATTTATATATTGCCATTGTTGAAATAAACAAAGAAATCAATTCTGCTGCATATGTAAAATTTTGTAGTCTTATTCAGAAGGGTTTGCCGGTCATTATAAGATGAGATAATTATTCCCTTCTTAACTGTTTTTAATCTGAAAGCCAATGTTTCCAAAGATTATCATCTTGAAGCTTAATGTTATTCTATAACAAGATGTATCAAAGAATTGAATCCAGTCATGGAATGAATATGAGAGAAATTGATTTCATAATGATATTAAATTTGGTTTTAATTGAGTTATGGTAGTGTCTACAGGATGGAATCGCCACTTGGTGCTCTTCAAATCATTCATTAAACTTTGCCCGTTAAGACCAGGACTAGTAAATGTTGGTACACTTTTATGAAAACTAGCCAGAAATTTTAGAATTCAGTTTGATAAATGTTGGAAAAATCCTTGTTTATTAATTCTAAAACAAGCTAAAATCAGAATGAGAAGGGAGAGATGTTTGATCACGTCTTGATCCGCAGAAGTTCCAGTAGTATGATATGCATGTGTAAATGCTTCTATATTGTATAATGTATACATGTGCAGTATGTGTATGTGTGACTGGAATGATCGGTTTATGTACAATGTGTATGTTCAATAATTTGCGTCAAATACAACATTATTATATATGCATGTTCATGTTTTGTTGTTGTTCATATTAAAATCAGCTTGAGTGCTTGAGGGTTACATTTCAAAGTAAAATCAGACAGTACACAGAACCATTTTGTATTTTCAACCGAATACTGCATGATTTCAAGTGCGATGTTTGGAATTGGACTCAGTGAGTTTTTATAACACCAACACCAGCTTTCGACACTGAACTTGAAATCACCTATTATTGTTTATGTTATGGTTAACCTGCCTGATTATTTCATCAACATTGAACTAGCATTTTCTTGTAGAGATACAATATACCAGATTCATCTTTCTGATTATTCAGGGGTATCTACAATGTTAGCATACCTGGACTACTCAAATAGACTTTGGACTGAGGGGGGAGGAGGGGGGGGGGGTGAAATTTTGTTTAATTGTACACCATTTATTTTCAAAAGAAGTGAAACAGACAATATCTTGTATTGTAAAAAAAAAACCCAGACTTCTCAACATTTTAGAATTTTTTAAAAAATACATGTACTTTTTCCCAAAAATGTTATTTTGCATATATGGTGTTGGTCCATTTGAAGAAAGAAAAAAACAAACATATAAACTGCTTTTCTTGTTTTGTGTTGTTATTGGCTGAAAGTGAATTATTCTGTTACATACGATTTCCTATAGTGTCCTAAAAATTATACTGGAAAAAAATAAATACCGGTAGGTAAAAAAATAATAAAAGTAAATATGTTAACATTATACATAAATTGATGTTGGAGGTGTTTTCACTTCTCTCTGTCTCTCTCTCTCTGTCTCTCTCTCTCTCTCTGTCTCTCTCTCTCTCTCCCTCTCTATCAACTCTCTGTCTCTCTTTTTTTCCCTCCCTCCCTCCCCCTCTCATTAATCACGCTTTATCTTGATTCTCTTCCTCTGAGTCCTCTTGTTTTTACTGCCTTCCTGCTCTTTTCTCGTTCCAAATCTCCTGATCTGTGATTAAGTATCTTCGTAATAACTTCTTTGTGGCTATTGTTGTTTTCATTTTCAAAACATCTAGGTCCCCATGATAACCTCTTGACAATTTATCAACTCGAAATAAAAAGGAGAAGTCAATTTCAGAGCTTAATGAGAGATAAATGATGCAGTTATGATGTGTATTGTGAGGGGGAGAGCTATGGAAGGGGTTATAAATTATCATGAATGAAAGAATATGACTGTTCAAAATATAGAATTGCTTGCAAGTAGTCCTTTATTGAAGGCCAATTTAGGTTCATTTGCAAGTTGATTTGAATAAAAAGAGAAAAAAATAAACAAGAATGAAAGTTTCGCATAATTTCATGAAACATACGTATTACCAATAACTGATGGTGGTGCTAGGGGTGAAAATAAATCAAGAAACCCCCTCACAGGACGGAACAAGCGTTCACCGGATAAATATGACCGATAACGGAGGAAAGATTGCCCCTAGTTTTTAAGTTTTAGTAAACAGGATTAAAGTGAAAAAATAATAATTGAAACGACTGGTAGATTAACCTAGCGTCGCGTGTAATTTTGTAAATTTTGCAACAGATGCTAGATGTGGCGTTTCCAGAGTTAATTGTTGGCAAAAAGCGTCGTTTGTGGTTAAAGAACTAGATGTTTCGTATACAGACATTATACAGAGGATTTAGATTGGCAAAATTATCGTTCGAAAGGTTTGTTTAAATTATTTTCTTCATATTTTGTAAAATGCTTTGGTTAAATCTATATTATTGTCTTGTCTACGTGAACAGGTAGCGGTCGAACTCAGCTCTTCCCGCAGAGATGCGGCCAAGAAAGGGACGCGCGCCCGCTTAGGCGAATTGTCAGTGACTGTGCATTTTCTGTGACTGACTTTACTGACTGCTGCTGTGACTGATCGAGGTGTGAGTGCCTGTTTTGATTGGGATTATGTCTTTTAATTAGAAAGGCACATTATGTAGAACCAGTCTATACTTATAATGGAGAATCTGTAACATCGATGATATGTCTTTTGGGGTATCCAAAATTTGTGCACATGATTAAATTAAAAACATGTTTTTGTGGGATTCTCGAATCTCGGACCTGCAGACAGTAGGAATGTGATTGGAATTCAATTGATAATGTATTGTTAACTTGTTACTTCAAATTTAGGTCTAACTCTGTTCAAAACATGAGATCAATTTAGTTTACTGGTAAATTGACAACGAATCGGGGGCGTCAATGAGTGATGTAAAGTTTCGTTGTTTTGTACTCAAATTTGGTCTGCTCCTTCTCTTTCATTTCATTTCATTTCATTTATTTTCATATTTCTCATAAACAAACATATACATGTACATTTCAAATAAAGTACAAAATTGTTTTTTTCTTCAATAATACATAATAATAACAAAGATAAGTGGTCAATGTGAATTACTGATTTAACTAAGAGAAATATGATGGGACCTAGGTCTACATGAAAGCAAGCTTGTAAAGCTGTAGGCCCCAGTAAAGTATTTGTGGTAATAAATGGAGAATGGATATACATCATAGTGACCAGTCTAAATGAATACAAAAATAAAAAGGAAATAATAATAAACTTGCGGTTGTGCTGTTTATATTATCCCTTCCTTTCTTACAGTGTAGATAAAAGTAGACGTACTTAAATTATCATACAATGTGTGCTCAGCTCAGCTGGTAAACTAACATTTCAGATATAATAAAATGAATACATTTGTATATTACATACATAAATAGAATAACGAGGCGAGCAAGCACACTGTGTCAGCCGTCACACTCTCGGATATAGAAGTAAAGATGTTATATTGTTGTTGTTTTTTTTTAATACGTATTTCCGAAAGCACGACAACCAAACACAACGCGCTTGCACGCAAAGGTCATATACATTGACATCAAGATATGCTTTGAAAAGCTGGGGCGGTATTCTGAACCCTGTGTTATCTCTAATATTGTTGTATCTTTGGAGATAAGATAAAGTTGGTATTCTGAACATTGTTGTAACTTTTGTTGTATCTTTTGTTGTATCTTTTCTCTCATCTGTTTGGTCGTGCCTGCGTTCAAACTTTGGTGCGCTTGTAATTGTGCTTATTAGTAATAAAATGGTGCCTAATCCTCATTTGCATATGCGCACGAGAAATAATATGACAAGATAATTGGTATTCTGAAAATTGTTTTATCTTTTATCTTATCTTATCTTGCATGGTATTTACAACAATATTTACAACAGGTAGGGGGTTGTTGTATCTTTCGTGGTGATATAATGGCAGCAATATTTCTTGCCCAGAACCAACTTCGTGCCAATAGACGAGTTAGAAGAAGATTGTGTGTTGACCGGAAACATCACAGATGAGAACTTTCTAATAAATTACATGCTAGGATATGACGATTTTAATGCTCTCATCTTAACCAATATAGTGAAAGCGTGATTTGTCTTCATGATCCACATGCCACAGCGCATATGATGACGCGTGTTATATGCGCTCAAATAACTAATTACGCCCAAGATTAGTATGCGCTAGGCGCATCTTCAGATATGGCATAAAGTATTCCTATTGGTTGACCTACTTATCATG